AACGCAGGTTTTGCAGGTACTGAGGTTACGAAAATGGAGGCTCAAGCAAACGAGAGAGACAAGATGAACAAAAATATTGTGATTTGAAAATATAGTGTTTTTGTATAAAACCTTGGTTTATGCGTGACTGTTCAAAATTCGCGAGATACGAAGTCGGCGTTGACGGTTGTACTCATCCAGTAGGGGCCAGCCACGTGTCTTATGGGAGAGCAAGCGATTCAGAGTGTACAGTGTGATTGAAGAGACGTTTTTTGACCGAATCACTCGGTGGCCCGATGACAATTGAGCTCGGTTGTAAGGCTAAGGTTTTAGCTCGGCTGGTAACAGGTAAATCCTAATCATGCTACGTAGATGGAATTAAGGGGCAATTGAGAGGGAGTTTTTATGTGGCATTAGGGTCGAGCAAGGCCAAGGCGCAGTAATGGGCTGTTCTGTGAGCCGCAGTAAAAAGGGCTGAGAAAAAGGGTCTTGTAGTTAGCTCGGTCTAAAAGGGCCTTGTAGTTGGCTCAGTCACCCCGGTCGGAGTGGTAATTAGCTCGCCCACAGTGTTTGGAACCGAGGTATTATGGCTTCTTTTGGTGGACCTCGCTCTGGTTAGCGGGGTCAGAGCTTGCTGTAGTTAGCTTGGTCTCAACGGACACAACCGAGGTACAAGTGAACAAGAGCTGAACTATGAGTTGCATGTGAAGGTACTAGTTTGGGTATGACAAAGAGGTATTGTTAGCTCGGTTACATTGTCGTCCAACCATGGTAAAAACCATCTCACTTGGTTTAAGCAGTGAGGGGGGTGTTGACGGATAAGCATTATCTTTTAGGAGTGTGATTCCTAGAAGGACTCTACATTGAGGAATAAGAGTCTTACTAGGATTATGCCACGGGGAACCTATAAAAACTCACAACATAACTTATGTACAGGTAACACAATTTTGATTCTCGAATATACAGAACTTTTGTCTATTTGCCTATTTTTGCTGACTTAGGCATCAGAGAGGTATCCGGTACACACCCGTCGGTTAGTTTACATTTGGTGTTTTTAGGAGTAAAGCGATGACGTTTAGAGGAGCGCAGACTTAATCAACAGGATTATACGAGAACATTATTTCTTGCTCGTACACTTAGGATTCATAATATTACTAATCCAATCTTATCAAAATTAGTCAAATTTTTAATTAAAAGTCTATTTTTTTATTTTAACTAACTATTTTTTCAAACAACAATCTCCAACAAACTTTTATTATTTATTTTATTTGTTGAGTATTCTTTTCCTAACTATATGTAACTAATGGTTTGATATTCAACTAAAGTAGCTAGCTAATGATTGAGTTTTGATGGAGCGTGTTTTTATGATTTTGTCTATAAAATAGTCAAGAGAATGCTTTAATGAACTTGATAATAATGCTTTATGGAGCCTAACAAAACATTCCATAAAGATATATAACTTGCTATTAGAGCTTTCACATGAGGCTGACTACAATAATTTTTTTGGGTTATATAGCAAGGCAAGCTTCAAAAACATTCTTCCATTAGCCTTGCTATATCAAAATTATATTTGGCGTTATTACAGCACATCGCTACATATAGCGATACACTGTTCACAATTATATAAATTTTATTATTTATTCTTAAAAGTAACTGGCATTCTTGTTGGTCATCCGATTGGATATTTTGCTAAACGACTAGTTGCTACTTTTTTTAAAAAATAATAATAAAAATACAATACTTATCAGACATTCTATCAGTCATCTGGCCGAACATCTTGTTGGATGACCGGTTTGGTACACTATCATTTTTTTTAATGAAACTATATCTATATATATATATATATATATATGTATATCTATATAAACAATACAAATCTTTGAATATTCAGCTGGAAATATTTTTCTTTTTAAGGAATATGAAACTATATAATAACAATAGAAAAATTAGTAACTTTTTCTAACTACTTTAACTATTTTTTAACAATACAAATAAATATTTTATATTAATTTTATTTTAAAATAAAAAATCTAATATAGTGTGTACATACAAAAATACTAACTAAAATAAAAAAATAACTTTTAATTATAATTGGGTCTTGTTTTGGGTACTCTAAAAAAGTTAAAAAGTTACTATCTTATTTAAGTCACATCATCTTATTTGAATCACATCACCTCTACCACGTCACTTCAAACCTAATCCATACTTAACCTATATTTCACAAAAAGTCAAAAAGTACACTTATTTAGAAGTTTGGCATCTTAAAAAAAAAATTAAAAAATCAAAAAGTCAAAAAGTCACTATCCTATTTAAGTCATATCATCTTATTTAAATCACATCACTTCTCTACCACATCACTTCAAATTTAATCTATATTTTATAAAAAATTAAAAAATATACTTATTTATAACATTTCAAACAACCTTTTAAATCATTCCAAACCACTCTCGACTCAAAATTTGGTAAGACTTCGCATGCTAAAGATACATGCATTCTTCATCATCAATCAAGAGAGATTTGTCACAATCTCACGTCACATCAATTAACATAAAATTTGATTATATGTGTATATAAGTCTTTAGATCGATTATTCACCCAAAAACAAGTCTTTAGATCGAGACTTCACATCCCAAAGATACATGCATTCTTCATCATCAATCAAGAGAGATTTGCCACGCGCCAAGTTTGGAAAGTCTCAAATAATTTATTTTTTTATTTTTTTTATATTATTTTTTTATGTATTTTTTTATAAAAAGATAAAAAATTTATTTATTTAAGTCATTCCAAACAATCCCACAATCTCACATCACATAAATTAACATAAAATTTGATTATATGTGTATATAAGTCTTTAGATACACTTCTTACACATCGATTTTAAAAAGAAACATGTTTTAGAATTCTAGAGCTGCTTTAATTAAATGATGTGGTGATTGTGTGGATCTCATTTTGATATGATATTTTAACTTAATTTTATTTTTTCATTTTTTAGCTGCCAACTCAATAGAATTTTTAGAACAACCAATCACTTTTGTTTTAAAAATACGTTCTCTGAGTCCAAAATCAATCAAGTATAAGCTCATGTGAATTCTACTTTAGTTACTAGCTAGGATCGATGTTAATATTGATCTGTAGATCAAGCTTGGATAACAAGAATTTGGGAGAAAGATATCTTACCTACATTTCACACATCTTTTTCTTTTTTTATTTCAAATCTATTATCAAATTTATGAACGAAACACATCCTTAGTAATTGGAATAGTTTGAAATAAGAAAGTGATACTTGATTATTTATTTTAACATTAATCATATTACTAAAGTAAGAATTTGAATCTCACACTTCTTCATGAGAATCTCACATTTTTTGGAGGAATACTAACAATTTACAAGTAAAAAATTATAATTGGACTCACAATATTTAAAAAAAAAAAATCATTTTCCCAATGTGAATTTCTAACGAAACCAAATGTTTGAATAATATTGACATATGATTTTTTTTAACTAATAATGTAATTCATACTCTCTCAAGATTCATGTCATCCAAACATAATCTAAATTCTCTTTATATATTTTTCTGGCAACTAGACAAGGAGGGGACTATACTCTTTTAACCCCAAATTTAATAGGCTAGAAATTAGAATTTCATGTGAGAGGCTGGGTGCTATACCACCAATTGGAAAACAAAAACAAAAAAACAAATTGATCTCTAATTTGTGGATTTTTTTGATCTCAACTTTCAAGCACAATTATAATATATTGCAAGAATGATTTCTAGACATTCCGGTGAGTCTCCGGCGACCGTTAAACGGAAGTCCGACGGTAGTAAGATGTGAACAGTGTCTATAAATTTAAAAAAAAAAAAAAGGATTTTTTGGTAACAATTAAAAATGTGTTGGACTAATTGGTACAAGTATTTTGTTTTTAGATTAATTGGGTTTTGAACTTGTTACAGGGGACTTATCAGTAAGTTCCCTATATGAGAATTGAGATAGTCCAAACCATTACAACAAACTGGATTTGAATCATCAGTTGGAGAATGCATATTCTATTTTGGGCTGGCCATAACAGTGTATGGGGTCATATTCCAGATTTAGCCCAACATTTGGACTTTTTGGGCCAATTGATGAGCCTGAAAGAGCCCAGCCCACTAAGATTTGTGATTGGTTTTAGCGCCATAATAAGTGGTGGAGGTGGCGAGTGTTGTTGGTTAGGGTTTGGGTTGGTGAACGCACTACCCGCCAAATAATCGCCACTTCAACTGAGTTCACAAAAGGCGCGAATCGCCGATTCGAACCTATTTACTTTATTTATTTATTACCCTATATATATATATCATATTATTGAAAAAAAAATTTCCAATAAAAGAAGAAAATAATTTTTTATTTTTATATAATATAAAGAATTTTATTAAATCATCTTACAACTAATTATAAACTCATAATTTTATACCCTTGAATAAATAATTTTTTGTAATATGTATGACTAAAATTTAAAACTCTTCAAAATCATTTGTAAACATTTTTTTGATCTCGACAGTTTATGTTTTATTTTTATAATAATAATACACATGATCTCATTGCATATTCATCTTGATTTGTCTTTTTTATTTACCATAAAATTAAATAATGAGTGATAGTCTTTTGTTGAAAGTTTAATTTTTATTTCAAACACTTAAAAATGAAAAATAGAAGAATAGGGTAGACATATTCATTGTTTTTATTTTCTAAGAAATTCAAACTTTTTTGATAAAATTTCAACTTCTTACTTCCTTAAACAAAAAATGAAAATGAAAAAAAATAAAAAATACTAAATAAATATAGTTTTTGTAATTTTCATACTTCCTATGTGATTGTTTTGTTTTTTTGGTAAATAAATAATTTTTTTATGGTAATTAAATTATTTTTATTTATTATATATGTTATTGATTGTATACACAAGTGCTTCCCTCCACATCTATATCCGAACCAAATTCCCTCCTTGGTTTCTTCCCTCGTTTTCCACTTTCTCTCTCTTCCCGCTTTTTTAATCCTTTCTCTCTTCTTCTCAATCTCCTTCCCAAATCCAAATCCAGATCTCACCCTCCGATTCAATTCCTCCCTTTTCAATTTCTTCAATTGCTCAGATTCTCAAATTCCCAATTCCTCTCTCTCCCAAATCCCCCCAAAAAAGAGGGCTTGATCGATCTCTCTGTCCTTCAACAGATTGTTAGTTTCTGAGTTCACTCAATTTCGATGTCGACTTCGCAAGCTAATCATCCGACGGAGCAGATCGTGCCACAACAGCAACATCAACTGCCTTTGAAGCGCCAACTGCCATTCTCCTCCATGAAGCCGCCATTTGGGGACTACCACCAGTTTTCCTCACCGGCCCTCGACCTCAGGTTGAAGGAACCCGAGGCTATTGTGGTCAAATCTCCGGTGAGTTTGTTGTGTATATATATGCATGAGACTGTGTTTCAGTTCTGATTTTGAAGTGGGTTTGTGTAATTGATGAATTTTATTGCTTGGTTTTGTCATTAGAGTTAGTATTTTGTGGATTCGTTACTGGGTTTGATGTAATAATTGTTTTGTTGATGCTTCATTGTTGGAACCTTGATTTATGTATATATGCATGACACTGTGTTTGAGTTCTGATTTTGAAGTGGGTTTGTGTAATTGATGAATTTTATTGCTTGGTTTTGTCATTAGAGTTAGTATTTTGTGGATTCGTTACTGGGTTTGATGTAATAATTGTTTTGTTGATGCTTCATTGTTGGAACCTTGATTTATGTATATATGCATGACACTGTGTTTGAGTTCTGATTTTGAAGTGGGTTTGTGTAATTGATGAATTTTATTGCTTGGTTTTGTCATTAGAGTTAGTATTTTGTGGATTCGTTACTGGGTTTGATGTAATAATTGTTTTGTTGATGCTTCATTGTTGGAACCTTGATTTATGTATATATGCATGACACTGTGTTTGAGTTCTGATTTTGAAGTGGGTTTGTGTAATTGATGAATTTTATTGCTTGGTTTTGTCATTAGAGTTAGTATTTTGTGGATTCGTTACTGGGTTTGATGTAATAATTGTTTTGTTGATGCTTCATTGTTGGAACCTTGATTTATGTATATATGCATGACACTGTGTTTGAGTTCTGATTTTGAAGTGGGTTTGTGTAATTGATGAATTTTATTGCTTGGTTTTGTCATTAGAGTTAGTATTTTGTGGATTCGTTACTGGGTTTGATGTAATAATTGTTTTGTTGATGCTTCATTGTTGGAACCTTGATTTATGTATATATGCATGACACTGTGTTTGAGTTCTGATTTTGAAGTGGGTTTGTGGAATTGAAGAATTTGCTTGCTTGCTTGGTTTTGTCATTAGAGTTAGTATTTTTCGGATTCCTTACTGGGTCTGATGTAATAATCGTTTTGTTGATGCTTCATTGTTGATTTATGTGATCTAAATGCTGTTCCAACTTATATTTATGACTCATTTCTTAGGATTCACAATTTTTTCTTTATAAACAGTGCTCCTTTATTTGCTGATAAGGTCCTCAGGATTGTTCAGTTCTTATAGGTTTGCTAGACCAACTTAACCAATGCAATCGTGACCATGAGATGGTAAACTAAATATCATTAAAAAAAAATCAATGTAGTATTATTGGCCATTCATTAATCATATAGGTAAAAAAAATAATTATTATATCTTTATATTGAAATGTATGTTCTATCATTAATTATTTGTGGGATTTAGTGATAGACCCCTCAGTGTCTAACTTATCCTTCAAAAGGACAAGAATTATATAGATCCTTTCAAAACCCCTTAGTACTTTAAAACTTATTTATTTTACTATAATACCCTCATATATATATATATATATCTATGTGTGTATCAGATTGCAATCACTCTCTCTTTCTCTCTCTCTCTCTCTCTTATCTCAATCTCTCTGTCTTGTTCTTGTTACTGTTACTCTTCATTGGCGCCATCACCACTCTCCATTGGCGCCACCGCTGCTCACTATGGAACTCTTTCTCTACC